CCCCTTCTCCCCTCCGTCCCCATCCTTATACTCGGGAGTTCCCTCGTCTACTGGTCATTCTTCCGGTGGCGAGTCTTGGATGGTGCAGTTTCTGCCGCTTCAAAGTCCTGCAGAACCAAATCTTGGCTCCTGTTACCTGAGTGGATTTCTGCTAGTTTTTTTGTTGTTGTTCCTTCCTGAGCCAGAGCGCCAAGTTAATTAGAAGGTTCTTTAAGATGCGCCTGTTGGGTAGTGTGTTGTTGCGATGGGTTCCTAGTTGTTCTAGAGAGAAAGCACATCTAAGAAAAGTTCCGAACTCCTGGAAGCCTCTGCTTTTCCCATCTGGAAACCGGGAGAGAACGGCTTTCCAGCAGGTTCTTAAATCATCAGCAATTTAAAGTGGTTGGATGATGGGCAGTGGACCAAGAACCGAAGGGTCCCTGTCCCTCTAGTTAATATTCTGTGCATCTGCCAGCGTTTGTGTTTTGAATGGCTTAACCTCACAGGTGAATGAGCCCTGCGACCGTGAATTCTCAGTACAATGGCTGATGGATAGGAAAGCTCTTTGAAGAGTGTAAAACAGGTTCCCAAACTGTCAATGTACAGACCTTCTAGGGAGAAATGGCTCTGTCCCAGTTAAAGTAGACAGTGCATTTCTGCATCTCCTGGTGCTGTTTATGCACATCTGTTTCAATTATTTAGCTTAAAGCATGTTTTCATGGGATGGGAAGAAGAGATAAGCAGACATTCCTTGTCCCCTTCCCCAGCGCCTTGGTTTGAAGAGCAGAGCTGGAAAACAGACCCAGCTGAAACATCACACGGTTACTTTCATGTTGACTTGGCCTCAAAGATGTGCTTATCTGTGAAATGGAAAAAATGGTCATTCTCTTGTAGGACTGTCAGGAGGAGTAACCCATAAAAATTCCATGAGGCTGTGCGATGGAGGGGGACATGCAAGCTCAGGATCCAGAGACCAAGGCTGGTCTCCCCTTTGTCGTCCACAGCTGTGTGTCCTAGACAAGCTGCTTGCTCTCTCTGAGCCTTCCTTTCCTACCCATACCTGCAGGGCACCCCGTCCTCTCGAGCAAACGTGTAAGGATCATGCTGCCAGTTTGTGTAAAGGACCTGGTATACAGTGGGCACTCAATAAATGTTTTGGTCAGTGGTTAAGAGCATGCACTTGGCACCAGGCTGCCTGGCTTGGATTCTGGATTGTGTCACTGACCAGCTCTGTGGCACGGGGCAAGGTCCTGGGGTGCTTCACCTCCCAATCCTATAAAAAGTGGGAAATAATAGGGTGACGAGGACTGGATAGTTCCTACACCCACAGTGCTTGGAACCACGTCAGCACTGAACGTTGGCGCGTGTTCTCAGGCTTGGGCTGCTGAAATGCTGAGGGAGGGAATTTAGGGTAAAGATCCTGCAACTTTTTTAGGGGGAAGTGTGTGGGAAGAGCTGAAACAAAGATCCTGTTTATGAACCAGGAGGAGGGATGAAGGCTCTAACTTCTACAAGTCGGAGTAGGCTTAACACTGAACGCGCCTCCATAGACAAACATGGGTTTGGCCCATTTTAGTGATTTTGTGCTGTCCTCAACCCACTGCACTGTTTTACTCATCTGGAAAATGACTAAATCAAAAAAAAGAAAGAAAGGAAGGAAGGAAGGTAGAAAGAAAGAAAGAAAGAAAGAAAGAAAGAAAGAAAGAAAGAAAGAAACCCTCCAAATACAAGGCTCTGTGAAAATTTGTGATTTTACCTTTTTATCCCTACTCTATTAAAAAAAATTGTGTGTGTGTGTGTATGAGATGTAGGATTTGAAAAGCAAGGCTCCAGAACCAGACTTCCTGGGTTCGAATCTGGGCTCTGCATTTACTGAGGAGCTATCTAACATCTCCGAGCCTCTACTTACCCAGCTCGAGAATGGGGATGAGGAGATTACTTAATTAAAAGTATAGGAAAGATTAAAATATTTACTATACTTAAAACCTAGAACGGTGCCTGACAATGTAGTTAGTGCTCTAGCTTCAATCTGTATGGTCTTCAGAATTACATGTGAACAATTTTTAGATTTCAGTGGATATGTGAATTTTAATGTACCTGAACTTGCCTGTTAGCTTGCATTGCAATTCTTATTTGTTATTTACCTTTCAGTGAAGATGTTACTAATAGCAGCCTGGAATCCAGCCCCTCCTTCCTCCTCCACTTCACCTGTGAACAGCGTTACCCACAGGGAGGGTTTACTCTCAGTGGTACTTTCAAACTTCATCTTGCAGAAAGACCCTCAGGGGGCTCTTTAAACATTGAGATTCCTGAGCCCCACTCCCACCCATTTAGATCCCTTAGGTTTGGATGGGACCCAGTGGTGCTGATGCAGTGATGTGTGGACCACACATAGACTAAAACCGCTTTGAAAGACTCTTCCAGAAAATTCATATTGAAAAAGGAAATCTGTTGTATAAAATCAGCCTACTTTCAAACTGATATGGTTTCTTTAAACAAGGATGGGGCTGTTTTCCTCTGATCACAAGAGCAGTTTTTAATTTCTCCTTTCTCTTCATTTCACTCCAACGAACGTCTATACAACTCCTAGCCATGCCTCCATTGTAAAGGCTCTCGTGGTCACTTTTTTCCATTTCCTTTGTAACTTATAAAATTTACCTCGCCTGCTGAGCTTTCGGGAATGTGTTTCTTTCAAGCTAGGTGGTGTGGTCCTTGGTGGCAGAGAGCGTGCTATTTCTTAATAAATATTGCAGTCTGGGCTTCTTCTGTTCTGAGGCTGGAGAAGTAAGCTCAGCTCTGTAGGAGCAAAGAATCGTACTGCAGCCGCCTCTTAAGTCTGTGTTTTGGGGCCCCAAGGGCTAAGATTCATGGCAGTCCTTGACACCACTCTGGAGTTAGGTACTTCCCTGTCCTTAGTCCTACTCCCAGATTCATATAAGGCAATGGGAAAACTCTCAAATAATAAAAGGGATCAGGAGTTCCTAACTAAAAACAATGAGGATGACACTAGTGTTGTTTCCACTTCTGGACCTCGCTGGCACCAGGGATCCATGTGCACCAGGAAGTTTTGATTCTTGTTCTGAGTTTAAATTTGGACTGAAGTGTCGCCATCACGATCCCCTGAGATGTCAGATAGTCATCTCAAAAATGAAAAACCATAGCACAGGGAAATATATACAAGACCTTGTGGTAGCTCACAGCAAAAAATAAATGTGACAATGACTGGATGTATGTTCATGTGTAACTGAAAAATTGTGCTCCACACTGGAATTTGACACCACATCATAAAATGACTATAACTCAATAAAAAAAATGTAAAAAAAATGAAAAACCAGTCTCTCTCCTCCTTCATGCTTGTTTATTTTCTTGGAAAACCTATTTTATAAAGGAGGAGTCTTCAAAGAAAATTCTTTGGGTCAATCAGAGAACATAATACCTGAGAGGGGCTGGGCTCGCCTTCTGACCATAGTTATTTTAAGTGGTCCCCAGCCTGGTCCACACTTTTAGGAAGGAGGAGGCCTGAGATGAACATACGTAGAGACCTTTTCCATGACACTTGGCTTTCCCTGGACAGTCTCATACGTCCCACCTCATTTTATTTTATTTTATTTTATTTTAACATTTTTTATTGATTTATAATCATTTTACAATGTTGAGTCAAATTCCAGTGTAGAGCACAATTTTTCAGTTATACGTGAACATATATATATTCATTGTCGCATTTTTTTCTCTGTGAGCTACCATAGGATCTTGTGCATATTTCCCTGTGCTTTACAGTATAATCTTGTTTATCTATTCTACAATTTTGGAATCCC